GTCCCTGCCCAAAGTTTGTGGAAGGCTGGAGAGGGATGGCACGAGACAAATGGCTTGGTCACTGTCTTCAGTCCATCCCCTCCAGGGTCCCTAGGGCTGGCCGCTGTCGGCAGACAGGCTACTGGGTTAGATGGACCTTTGTTCTGACCCAGTATAGACATTGTAAGCCTGCCAGCACCCAGCTAGCTGACCCTGCACCTGGCACGGGCACTGTCGCCAGCCGGTGCCCCTTTAAGAGGTCCGGGGCCGGGCGGGGGGCAATAGAGTTTCCCTGGTGTTGGCCAGAGTGGCCACCAGGGAAAGCTGGGGAGGGCTAGCCTCCCACTAGTTCGAATTAAGGGGCTACACACCCCTTAATTCGAACTAGTAAGTTCGAACTAGGCTTAGTCCTCGTAGAATGAGGTTTACCTAGTTCGAACTAAGTGCTCCGCTAGAATTAAGTTCGAACTAGCAGATCGCTAGTGTAGCACCTATGAAAGTTAATTCGAACTAACGTCCATTAGTTCGAATTAACTTTGTAGTGTAGACATACCCAAAAGGAAGAGGCCTATACATAAAAGTCTTGAAGTGTCAAACTGGAGTAGCCAGTGTTCCTTACTCGGGACACTGGGTAGGGAGAGGTCAAATATCCCCTGAACTCTTGAAAGTTGAAACAACAGTAACTTGGTCTGTATCCCAAACCAAAAAACAAGTCCAATCTTTCATAGGTCTGGTAAATTATTAGAGGTTTAGGGGAGGGGAGGAAGTGACATTGTATCTGCAATCACAGGCCTATGTAAAAAGACAAAACCTAACAAAGTTATATGGACAAAGGCATGGCAAGAGGGTTTTAATAAGTAAAAAAAAAAATCTTGTCTGAAATCCACTTCTAGTCTAGCTTTTGATAAAACATTTCCAGATAAAATGTGTGACAACACTGTATGAAGATATATGTCTGATACTACATCCCCCATTTATTATATAGGTTACACCTCCATAAAACAGAACTCTCTGGTCTGGCAACATCCGTGGTCTGGCAGGATCAGTGTGTCCCGGTGCGCTGCAGAGGTTTAGGGGGGTCAGGAGACCAGTGTGATTCGGGGAGGGGTGCATGGCTCTGGGCTGCAGGAGCTGGCACATAGCTCAGCTGGGCTGTGTGGGGAAGAGGGGTGGGGTGGGAAGCCCAGTGCACAACTCAGCTGGGCTACCTAGGGGAGCCAGGAAGCCCAGTGGGTCGGTAGGGCAGAGGGTGGGGCTGGCAGCAAGGGGGCCAGAAATGACCTCTCCTTGTCCAGCAAATCCCTGATCTGGGACCAGTCAGGTCCTGTGGGTGCCAGACCAGGGAGGTCCAAACCTGTAGTAATATTATGATAAGACTATGGCATAATTATGGTGAATTTTGTACAAGATGGGTCATGTAAAGTGCAATGGTTATAATTTGCTCTCTGATCCTGTCAGACCACGCATGTTGCCAGACCAGAGAGTTCTGGTTTATGAAGGTGTAAGTTACAATTTGCTGGATAGGATAATCCTCTCTGTATTATTTTTGTATCTGAAGTTATGAATATTGATTATGAATTTGTATTTCAAATGAACTTTCCCTGGAAAAAACACTCACCGCCAACCTTTCAGGTACAACAATGAAGCTAGTGTAAATGGCTCATCAGCAAAGACAATGGGCTGTGGAATAGCTTAGCCTTCCTGTCGACATTTTTGTCCAGCCTGTAAGTAATGGCTGCTATGACTCTGCAAGGGCATGTGACCACACGACTTGTCTCTGGACTCCGTTTTCTGTGCCTGTATTTTTCCACATACTGGGATGGGAACTGTTTTGGGACAAAGGGTCCCCATCATTTGCTAAAGCTATCTAAGGCAGGGAGTGACCTCATCTGTTGTTCTTCACTCTCCCACAACTCAACACCTGAGAGAAGCTCTGAAAGAAAATGACTGGGAACAGAGGTGGGGATCCCAAGCTGCAAAGCAATGCAGCTTGTGTCTTGAGAATCTACAAGTCAGCTTGCATCGCCACTCAGGGTGAGAGATTGTTAATTCAAATCCTATCATTCTAGTATGTTAATCTTTGTTTTTGTTTATTTGCTAGGTAATCTGCTTTGATTGGTTTGCTACCACTTATAAATCCCTTAAAATCTATCTTTTGGGACTTAATTAACTAGTTTTATATTTTAATCTAAATCAGTTTGTCTTCAAGTGAAGGGTCTGGGGAAAAAAAATCACAGTTTAGTTACCACTGTGTGCATATTCCTCTCCACAATGTCTGGGGAAAAAAAAAATCTCAGTTTAGTTACCACTGTGTGCATATTCCTCTCCACAATGAGACAAACTGAGTAATAAATTCATGCTGGTCGGGGTTTTGAGCAGGGCAGTATGGGACAGTTCTGGGGTTTAGGCTGGAAAGCTGGGGGTAATCTTGGCTGTAGACTTTCTAGTGTTGGTTCATGCAGTGGCAGGTGAAAACCTGCATGTAACTGCATCTGAGTGTGTCTCTACCCATGTAAATGCTTGTGGGAGAGGTCTAGTGTTTTGACTCAGCATCGCAATATTAGAAGGAGCCCAGGCTAGTCAGTCAGAGGGCTCAGTGGTACCCCCGTTCCATGGTGCACCCTGGGGGGAATCCATCACCATTAGATTCCCCTATATGATGTTAAGAGTGCATGTTCAAGACTCATGTAACACCAAACTGGTTGATCAGGCCTGTCTAGAACAAAGAAGTGTATATTTACTGCTTACATGCAAATTAAGGCAAACAGAGTAATCAAACAGGAAGGCAATACAAAGGAAGTTCACACAAATCCTGCAGGGATCATCCTTCCACACAGACTCTGCCTCCCACTTCTCAGCTGGAAAATGTTTTTCAAGAAAGGAACGAACATCCCAAGACAAGCCCCCCAGCATTGTACTTATGACAACAAAGGAAAACAGCAGTTGGACGGCGGGAGTGGGGCATGTTAACACTGCAGGAAGCATGCAGTGAGAAATTTTGCTTGGATCTAATATTGTTTGCTCAGTTAGGCACTAATAGGCATTTATCTTTATTTTTCTACTAACCATTTCTGACTTTTATGACTCATTACTTGTACTCACTTAAATTCTCTCCCTTTGTAATTAATTATCTTGATTTACTGTTTTATCTAATTCACTGTGTTTAAACTGAAGTGTCTGGGCAACTGTATTTAAGGTAATAAGCTAATATATAATGGCCTTAAAGGAATAATGGGCTGAAAATGGAGAAGTGGAAAGGCTAACGAATGGAGTGTGGGCTCAGGAAAATCTCTGGGTTCACTTCACAGAGGCAGTGCATGACAGGCGGATGAGTGGGTCATAGTCAGAGCTGGCTTGCCCACAGGCATCAGGATTGAAAGGCAGAAGATGCTGGCCTCTCCCCCACCCCCAGAACTATAACAAAGCTCTCTCCCTGGCCGCACCATGCACAGGTCATTGCCTTTCCACTCAAAAGTCACAAAAATGGGGACAAATGGGAACACAAAAGCCTCTGAGTTACTTGGAAACCCTTCAGAACGGTATGTCATTGCCAGGCTAGCTCCCTCCTTTTTTCTGGTGCTTCCTGTAGGAATTTACTTCTTGTGAGACAGGGAAGGCCAGCAATGTCCTGGCACCCTTGTGAGATACTTCCAGGGACCACTGGTTCCAAATTTCCACACTCAACTAGCTTTATGGAAAATCAGCAGCTTCAGACCTTGGAGAGGAGGATTTTTCTCTCCTGACTATCCAACACCATTCAGTGAGATCTCCATCAATGGCAATTTCAGATTCATCATGTTTCCCGCCTCTACTGTCCATGCCAACATTATGGCTAGGTCCTGGGCTCATCTACAAGAATCCAGACAACTAGCTCTTGAATCCTATTTCTAAGGTATCCCGAAGCAGGGTATAAAGGCTTCTCTACCTCTTTCAAGTTACCAGGGCTGTTTCTCTGCCCCACTGGTATGAAGGTGTCTGCCTTGTTGCTGTATTATAAAAACTAATTTAGGAATTACAATGTGCATAATTTTTTAATTTTAAATGAAGGACACATAAGCTGAGGTTTCGTATAAAATACACTATAACTTCCATGCTCTGGGTGTCTCTAATTCGGGAACACCTGTGGAACAGACCCTGGCAGGAGGAGGAGGAAGCGGCTCTGTGCACTGCTGCTCCCCCTGCCCCCGGCAGCTGGGGGAATGTCAATGCAGTGATGCATTCTGCTGAAAGCTTTTCCCTACCTCTCCCGTAGTGGCGGGGTGGGCGGTGCTCAGGAGCCCCAGTGGATGCAGAGTGCCCGGTAACGCTCCCCCGCCCAATCCACCTCATTGCCTCACTGGCCTGGCAAAATCTTTAATCCAGCAAACCCTGTTTCCCAGGGTTGCCAGATTAAAAAGGTTCAAGTGTACTACCACCAGGCATATTTAATAGGATTCCTCCCCTGGAAAGGCCACTTTCATTGTGCGTGAGGAGTTCAGTCTCCATAAAGGAGCCCTTGTCACAAGAGAGATGCTGCGCTGTGGTTTTGTTTTGTGGGTGCTTGTCCACTAAGAACTAGACGGAGGCCCAAGCACTCGTTTCACAGGCTGCCAAACAGCTTTCAGATGGTAACCACTTCCATGGGCCCAGAGATTGAAAGGTGAAAGGCTCCGTATCCAGTTCCCACCTTGCGTGCCAGCCAGCCTCACTGCAAGAAGCAGTCATGCACACTGACTTTACCGACTCCTAAGGACTACGCTAGCAAGACAGAGAACCACATAAAACCAAACATGCATCTTTTTCTCTGCTCCCTGTCCTCCCCTGCTTCCCCCCACCCCCAACCAAGAGTGCTGGTAGCTCTCCTTTCTCACCATCTCTCAGCATAGTGCTCTCTGTCCCATCAGCTTCCAGGCTCTCTTCGTAGTCCTCCATGGCGTAGACGTGCTCATACTCAGGGTCATTTGTGTGCACAACATGCACCTCACGGCCTGGAAAATAACCCCAGCTGCATGAGAAGGGCCGCAGGAAGGTGATAGAGCAGTTTCTTAAATTGTGTTCCGCGGCACACTGGTGTGCAGCGAGGCAGTCGGAGGTGTGCCACGGAGAACAACAGAATTCAAAATGGCCCCCCTTAAAGGGGCAGGCTACCTTTTATTGAGCCAAAAAAAAAAAAAACCTACCTTTTTCCCCTGACCCTTTTTCCCCCCTCAATAGCTTCCCCCCTGGCCCGTTTTCCTCCTGACCTTTTTTTTTTCCTCTCAACAAAAAATCCTTGGTGTTCCTCATAAAAAAAAATTGTTTGGTGTTCCTTGGTCTTAAAAAGTTTAAGAAACACTGTGATTGAGAGAAGTAAATGGAGTCACCGGGCTTGTTAGCCAAGCCATGAGGGAATTCGTCCCTCATCATTCCTAGCATGACGACAATTGAGCTTCAGCTTTGATTCTGGGAGTGGCTGATGAAAATGGCACCACTCTGGTCAACATGACTCTGAGTTGCCCAGCTAGTGCATTGGCTTGTTCACACAAAGGAAGTTGGGGCAGACGTGCTGGCTGCACTGCCCAGTGAATAGCGTACCACAGGGTCACTTGCCTAAAGGTGCAGTGCCACAGTACAGGGGCCTGCATGGCAGCCGCTACACTAGAAAATGTTGTGCTCATTGTGGACACTGGCCAGAAAACAGAGACACAATGTCCGAGAGCCAACAAGGGGTATGGAGGGGAAGGGCACAGAAGAAGCAAAGAGGCTGTCACTGAAAAAGCTAACAAATAAATGGGGAATGAACACACTCTTTGGAGACGTATCTCTGCAAATCTCTCTGTGCCCTACTGTAGTGAGACATCAATTCAGGTTTAGATATTTACCTGCCACCAATCTATGCTGCTTTACAGATCATTTTAAAGCAGCTGTACTGTAGCAGCCAGCCAATCAATCCTTCCAATCATGCTACACATTTTCCTGCACATTCTTTAGACACAAATGCCCCCTTCCCATATCTTTCAACCCCTCTACCTAGGAACCCATCCATTCAGCTACTCTCCATACAGAGTCACTCATCCATGCACACATCATCCTGGGCATTCACACATCTATTGCTTTCATGTACTCTTCCATAAACCGTGTGTTCATCCCACAGTATCTATCCAAGCCATACACTTATTCACTCACTGTTTCTTTTTCCACGACCCTACCCATGCATCCTGAGCACCACGTGCACCCTGTTAGGTATACATCATATCTTTCACTCTGCACATCACTCTCACTCACCTGTCCCATTAATCAATTGACCCAAAGGATGTGGTTAGGGTTTGACGACATAGCAAAGACATCCCTATGTGTTCTGTGCCATTGTGAGAATGCAGATGCCTTTCGTTAAGTCATAACACAATGGCCTACACCTAGGTGCATCTTAGCATTAAGGTAGCAATACTGAGCTAGAAGTCTACTTTTAAATGGCCTGCAGCTTCCTTTGGCGCTCTGAGTCACTGTGACAGAAGGCGGGTACTTGCAAATGAAGGCCACTCTGACAGCAGAACTTCCCCGGAGGATGCATGCAGACAGTGCTGGAGAACAAACATTATGACCAGGAACACAGAGATAAGACTCACCATCCTCTTCTTCAGCATGTGACAACTTTAGCACAGGGACTAGTTGAGCATTAGCAGACGGCAATGGTTGGGTGGATGGATAGTTGGGGAGAAGACCTAAAAGAGGCAAGGTCACAGCATAGACATCAAGCAGGAGATGAGACTGACCGACATGGCTCCCCTTCCCTCTGATAAGCCACAGGCCAATGCTCCAGAGCAGAATCAGCACTATCCACTTCTAAGGCTGCTGACAGCTGCTAGACATGGTGCAAAACTAGCCCTGCACTGGACACTGAAGGGAGGAAACAGCCAGTAAGGGGAGAAACACCACAGATGAGCAGGCCTGGAGTACCTCGAGGCCCGTCATTGGATATTGAACAGCACTTTGTCTGCATCTGCTCTGCTCTGTGGCACAATCCATGTAAATGTCTCCTCCTGCCTCTGATGAGATAGGACCTCTTGGAACACGGGCTACATGGAAAAAGTCACCCTCTCTACCTCACTACAAGGTGATGGCAAAATAGATGGTGGAAGTACCAGCAGAAGGAGACCTGCAGGCAGGGTGCATGCACAAAAGGGAGATATATTCTCTTCAGATTCCCTTCATCCTGATCCTCCCCATCTCCACAGTAGAAGTGGGCTTCCTGGGGTGTACAGACATACACTTGAATACAGCCTGGGGGGGAGGGGGAGTTTGAACAATATACAAAAAACAACAAGGCAGCTGCTAGTTAAACACCAACGTTGGACAAGACAGAACACAGATGAACACAGTACAGGTCTTCGCCCAGAGATGCAGCAGGCTCACTCATCGGTCTGGATGAGGCATGTAGTCACAGCGTCTACACACACATAGGAAGGTTCTACAGGAATGTTGGGAAGTGTCTGGACACCGTGGCCTGTACGAATGGTGCCTCTGATATTAAATTGATCCTTTTCCCAGCATGGTGCTGGGTCTGGCTGGAAACCCTATGGAATTTTCTACTGGAAGATCAGCTCACTCTCTCTCGCCATTCAAGGACAGAGCTTGTCTGGCTCTGCTCTGGGAGGGTTTGGCATGGGTGGCTTAGAAAGATGCTCTTCTCTCTCAATTCACCTGTTAGTCATGGTCCTGATTTTCCTCTGGTATTTCTTCCTCTTCTCCTGGGAGATTTATGTCTGTTCCTTGCATGTGTCCCCCTCATCCTTTGCGAGCAATTAGGCATATAATTCACTTCACGTTTGCCCAGTATTACTTTCCTCTGCTTCACAGTTCTCCCTTGCCAGCCTTACACAGCTGGCTGCTCCACTCGTCTCCTCTTCCCTATAACTGTCAGCTGTTTTTTTTTTACTATTTCTGGGAACCTGCTATGAAATCCTCCTTCCTTCTTTCCCTCTGCTTTCCTCACCAGGCCTCTCTTCCCTTCCCCACTCCTCTCTCTTTCTCCCCTTAGCCATACCAAACATATCCAGGGTGAGATTCATTCCTATGCAAGGGCTAAGTTTGTCAACGTTCTTGTACCATCTGATTTTCCTTCCTCTAGTGTATTTGCTACAGTGATGCCTCACTTCTGGGTTTGCGCAGGCATTATTCTTTCACAGACTAGTTACCTTGTACTCAGAATTGGCTTCTCCAGGCATGACTACCCACGTGGCAGTCTGTTCAGAGTGAACCGGGGAGAGACGCATTGGATGCTGAGTCCAGAAACAGAATGGCTGCTATGACTGTCTGTTTGCTAATCTTGGCCTATCATGTCAGATGCCCCGTCTCAGGCTAGGGGCTCCCAGTTCAGCACTCCCCTTTTGGTCTCAGATGCCTGGCTGTGCCCTCTGGATCTCTGGATTCCAGCCTGCCCTCTGGATCTCTGCTTTGAGATTGCACTATTGGCAGTTCTAGGCTTGGCATCCGAGTGCTCCTGGCCTACAGGGATTCACTCCACAGTGCTACCCCCTCAGATTCACTCCCCGCACGTTGTCAGACTTGAGAGCATGCTGCGGAATGTTGCCAACTGCTCCATGTCACTCGTCACCCCTTCTTCCCTTGCTAGGGTTGCCAGGTGTCCGGTATTCAACCAGACAGTCCGGTTTTTGTGCCCTCTGTCCAGTATCAAAATTCAGAAAATATCGGACATGTGCAGTGTCCGGTATTTTCTGCTTTTCTGGCTGGGTGCCTGATGGAAGCCTGGCGAGGGTGGGAGGAGTGGCTGGGGAGGCGGGGCTGCGATCGGCGCTGGGAGCCCTCAGCTGGTTGCGTGCGGAAGCCTGGCAGAGGCACAGGGAGTGGCTGGGGAGGCAGGGCCGCGATCGGTGCTAGGAGCTCCACGTCTCCGGCCACACGTCTCTAGCCACCACACCCACCTCACCACGCCTCCCCAGCCACTCTCCCCGCACCCACCAGGCTTCCGCACACAACCAGCTGAGGGTTCCCAGTGGGAGCAAGTAATTCATTTCCTCCCCTGCTGCCCTGACCTCATTGGGAAGTGTAAATTACTTCACCCCTTTTCATCACACAGTCTGCCCTGTGCTCAGAGCCCAGCCAGACATTCTGGCCCGGGAGTGGGGGCACGCCTCCCCAGCCACTCTCCCCGCACCCACCAGGCTTCCGCACACAACCAGCTGAGGGTTCCCAGTGGGAGCAAGTAATTCATTTCCTCCCCTGCTGCCCTGACCTCATTGGGAAGTGTAAATTACTTCACCCCTTTTCATCACACAGTCTGCCCTGTGCTCAGAGCCCAGCCAGACATTCTGGCCCGGGAGTGGGGGCAGAGTACGGGCTCCTTCCACTTTCTGTTCACAGATTTTCAGGCACATAATCCACTTCTTGTCATGGCCAGAATATGGGCCAGGCTTGAATCCCCCTTTATTCCCCTCCACAGCTGAATAAAGGCTCTGAGAGGCTAGTTCAGCCTGTCAATAGGGAGCCTTCAGCTGGCTGTGTGCAGGGAGGTTCATGTTGTCAAAATATATGATGTAGATTGTTGATTGTTTATAACAGCGTTTCCCAGACTATGGGCCGTGGCCCAGTATCGGACCACAGGAAAAAAGTACTGGCCCTCAGCGTGGTTGCCGGGGTGCTCCGGGCTCCCGGAGTGCCTGTGTGGCACCGGGTCCCCCAAGCCCTTGGCCGACCTGGGCGGAATCTGCAGCGGAATCTTCCGGCTCCCGGCAGATGCGTAGCTAGGGGAGGTGTGGGGAGGAGGACGGGAGAGCTGGCCATCAGAAGCAGCACCAGATGGGAGAATCGGGGCGGGCCAGGGAGATTGGGTGAGGGGCAGCCGGCAGAAGCAGAGCTGGGCAGGGGGCTGGCCCGGGGAAACGGGGCGAGCCAGGGAGATTGGAGGAGGGGCAGCCAGCGGACGCAGAGCTGGGCAGGGGGCTGGTCGGGGGAGATTGGGAGGAGGAGTAGGGGAGAAGCGGCCGCTGGGAGGGGGGGGTGAAACGGGGCGAGCCAGGGAGATTGGAGGAGGGGCAGCCAGCGGACGCAGAGCTGGGCAGGGGGCTGGTCGGGGGAGATTGGGAGGAGGAGTAGGGGAGAAGCGGCCGCTGGGAGGGGGGGGTGCTTGGGGCATCAGGACTGTCATGAGTGGTTGGGGGAC